ATTGTGAGGGCGCCTGGATGGCTCAGTCGGTTAAGCATCCGACTTCGGCTCAGGTCACGATCTCACAGTTCTTGAGTTCAAGCCCCGCGTCTGCTATCAGCGCAGAGCCTGCTTCAGATCCTCTGTCCCCCACCCCCACCCTTCCCCCACTCATTCTCTCTTTCTCATTCTCTCTCAAAAATAAATAAACATTAAAAATCAATCAATCAGGGGCACCTGGGTGGCTCAGTCAGTTAAGTGTCTGACTTCGGCTCAGGTCATGATCTCACGGTTCGTGAGTTCGAGCCCCGCGTCGGGCTCTGTGCTGACAGCTTCACATTCTGTGTCTCCCTCTCTCTCTCTGCCCCTTCCCTGCTCATGCTGTGTCTCTCTCTGTCTCAAAAATAAATAAACATTAAAAAAAATTTTTTAATCAATCAATAAAAATAAAATTGTGATATTTTAAGAGGATGGAGGAAATGATAAAGGAGCATGTGTGAGGTGAAAACCTTCACTGATAGTAATAGGAAATCAACAAGATCATCTCTAAAGTGGATACATTAAAGTATTGTAGAATAGATTTATTATTTAAGTATGTATAACTATGGGGAAAATCAGTTTTTTGTTTTGGGTATTTTTGCACTAATTGGCTGTTCACAAAAAATAATTTCGAAAGTCTAAGACCTCCGTCAAACAGGGGAGGCATATCTTGACTTTGGCAGGTTCTAAGATACTGAAATTAAAAGGAAAGTCAATCGTAATGAAACTGAAATAGCCTGCAACAATATTGTTATTTTACCTTTCAGAAATGCTCGTGACAACCAAAGTAGCAATGAGTACACCTAAGGTCCAGATTCTAGTTTCTAAATGCCTTTTCTCACAAAAAGGAATCAGGGCTCTTTAGAGGAATTCATTCATTCCAGGTGAACCTGGAACATCTTGTACCAGAAACAAGAGCATGCTTAAAGACTAATGGAGACGCATTAAAAGGACCCGAAGCTAGTTTAAAGGGTTTCCCCGGCCATCATCAGGACAATCTGATCATTAAAACCACTCATGACTGTAACTTATTGTAAAACATTGAATAAATAAAATCCAAGAGTTCATAGTGACTATCAAAAGAGAGAGAGAGAGAGAGAGAGAGAGGTGGGGGGCACCTGACTGGTTCTGTTGGTGGAGCATGTGACTCTTGACCTCAGAATTGTGAGTTCAAGCCCCACATTGAATGCAGAGATTACTTAAAAAATAAAATCTTTAGGGGTGCCTGACGATCGAAGTCAGTCGATCGTCTGACTTCTTATAGTTTGTGAGTTCAGGCCCCAAGTCAGGCTCTGTGCTGATGGCTCAGAGCCTGGAGCCTGCTTCGGATTCTGTGTCTCCCTCTCTCTCTGCCCCTCCCCTGCTCATGCTCTGTTTCTCTCTGTCTCAAAAATAAATAAAAACATTTAGAAAAAAAATTTTTTTAATTTGCCATTTTGCAACCCCAACAAAGTGACTGAATCAGGCAACTATCACCAGTGGATGCAAAACCACGAAGTGAAAGGTTGTAGGCAAACGGGATATTTGCCTGTGTCAAAGTATCACCCAGAGATTACTTGCAAATTGCAAAGACGGAAAATATGTTTTTCCGGGAGGGATGTGGCGGTCATACTCTTAACCAAGAGATCAAATTTAGCATCACCGAAAATAAGACAACCAGGCATAATGTGTTCCTGATGGGGCGCAATGGAACATACGTAGCTTTACTCACAAAGTGTTCAGGCCATTATGTCTAACCTAAATGTGATCTCAGGAAAAATAGGGGAGAGGGGAATGAGCTAAGTAATGCCATGAGGAACCAATCTAATGAATCCAAAATGCACCACCTTCTACAAACTATCTGGCCAGATATCTTCCAAAAGTCAGTATCTTGGATGGGGAGATTATTCTCGATTTAAAATGACTAAAGCATGGGGCGCCTGGGTGGCTCAGTGGGTTAAGCGTCTGACTTCGGCTCAGGTCATGATCTCGCTGTTCATGTTTTCGAGTCCGCGTTGGGCTCTGTGCTGACAGCTCAGAGCCTGGAGCCTGCTTGGCATTCTGTGTCTCCCTCTCTCTCTGCCCCTCCCCTCCCAAAGATAAACATTAAAAAAATTAAAAAGACTAACGAACACAATAACCAAATGCAATGCATGCAACTTAACTGGATCCTGATTCAAGAAAACAACTGTAAAAGACATTTGGGGGAATAATTGTGGAAATTTGAATACGGACTGGATACAAGGTGCTATTAGGAAATCATTGTCAATTTTCTTGGGTGTGATAGCAGCATTGTGATTATGTAGAAAAATGTCCTTGTTCTTAGGTGATGCAGGTTGAAGTATTGAAGAGTGAAATGTCACAACAACTTCAACCTACTTTGAAATGGTCCAGCAAAAAATGGAGAGCTAGCTAGCTAGCTAAACAAAAAGGGCAAAATGGTAATGATCCTTGCATCTGGGCGGTGACTATGCTAATACTCATTGTAAGTTTGCTTCAATTATTTCTAGTTTCACATTTTTTGAAAGAAAATTTTCTTAAATGTTTATCTAGTTAAATTGAGAGAGAGAGCATGTGGGTGAGCAGGGGAGGGGCAGAGAGAGAGAGGGAGAGAGAGAATCCCAATTAGGCTCTGCGCTGTCAGCACATAGCCTGACACAGGGCTCAGACTCACGAACCAGGAGATCATGACCTAGGCTGAAATCAAGAGTCAGATGCTCAAGTGAAGGAGCCACCCGGGCGCCCCTATTCTCACAACTTTATCGTAAGTTTTCAATGATTTCAGAGGGGGCAACTGGATGGCTCAGTCGGAGGAGCATGAACTCTTGATGTCCAGGTCGCGAGTTCGAGCCCCACGTGGGGTGTAGAGATTCCATCCATGTACACTTAAAAAAAAAATATTTTGGAGTAAAAAATTTTAGAAAAATCTAAGTCAGACCTAGACCAGTTGGAGGTGCGGCTTCCAATTTAGGGACCTAAAAACACCAGGACTAAGTAAACCTTGACAGAATTGCCCTTATTTAAATACTTGTATTGTCTTAGTTCTTTCAGCGTTCAGGAATGTATGTACACTTTCTGGAGCTGGCAGAGCTGGGAATCTAGGGGAGACACAGCCAAGTGACTAGAGTGAAAACTGGGGCCCTTTCCCAGACATTCTGGTTCTCCGCCTAGCGTCCTTTCTTTCCAGTTGAGATTCCTCACCCTTGTGCTTGGAAGCTAGCACCCCAAAGAGCTTTTGGGGAGCCCCTCGGTCCCTCAGCATCTGCCTAGCACTGGCACTGGTGTCCTTTATGTCCTCTGGGATTGTTTCCCAACTACTCTCTGTCCCAGCCCCCACCTGGATTGTAGACCACTCCATGCAGGCTGTGGCTGGCTTTCATTTTCAAACCCCACGTCGGGCCCCGCACTGATGGTGCCGGAGCCTGCTTGGGCTTCTCCCTCTCCCTCTCTCTCTGCCCCTCCCACACTCTCTCAGACTAAATAAATAAAATAAAATAAAACACACACACATTTCAAACAAGTAGAATGTTTGATATGATCATCGCTGTAAAGCTGAAGCTCAGAGATGAATTGCAATTAAGAGCAGAAGGATCCCACACTGTCCAGCCTCCCTCTGGCCTTATCGATTCTCTTCCTGAAGGAGCATTTGCCCTCTTCAAGACGGTGTTCGCTGGTCTTCTCAACTGGCCGCGAAACTTCTGGGGGGAGGGACGGCTTTTGTGGTTTTGTCCCTGCTTGACTTTTCTCCAGTTTCTGCATACCCTGCTCCACCCACCTATGGCTGGCATCCAGGGCCCACAGAGCTGCCCACACTAAATGCCTCAGTCTCAATCATGGCACAGAGAGTGGGCCAGGCTGGAGGATGGAACACAGCTTCAGGGTCTGACAGAACAGGGGAGAGCAATTTACGGCCTGGATGACATATATGGGCAAGTGTGTGACCTCAGGCAAGTCACTTGGCCTCTGAGCCTCAGTTTCTTCTTCTGCAAAACGGGAATAATAAAACTAACTTCTCTCCCCAAATGACTGGGTGGATGAGTTTAGATGACTCAGGCCTCTGCGCTTTATCTGGTGCTGCAAAACGTTAGTGACCATCAGGAGCCACATGCCCAGCTCTGCCGTCCTGTGTGTAGGGCCGCCTCTGGGTGTCTGTCTGCCCCCACCCTCTCTTCCCTTATCCCTGCGAATTGATTCACGCATAATCTGATTAACATGAACAGCAGGCATCAGGACTGGCAGGTCTTGACATTTACTCCCTAGGAAGCTTCAAGGGGGTGGCCGTGGAGCTCCTCCAGCCCGGAGCCAGACTGCCTGGGTTCAAATCCCAGTTCCACCAGTTACTGGCCCTGTGAGCTTGGGCAAGGTGTGTCCTAATGTAGACAAAGTACAGTATTATCATCAGAGGCCTGGAGCTGGAATATTTTAGCATTAGGGTTAGAGTTCAAATCCCAGGTCCACCATTTACTACCCGAGGGACTCTATGCAAGACAGTTAATTTCTCTGTGCCTCAGTTTCCTCCTCATCGGCACAGGCGAATAGAATCAATAGTACCTACCACACACAAGACTGTAGGGGCAATCGGATATGTGAGTACGTGGAAAACACCTGGCACATAGTAGGCTCCATCATTTGACTATTTCAAACAAGGTCATTCTTTTCAGGTGTGGAGATCGGCTAGGGGAGGGAGGAGTGGATGCACTTGGCTGGCTTTATAGACAAAGGGGGCTGGGCTCCCGGGCTCGCTCAGGCCTCCAGAAGGTCAACCGGACCGGGGATCCAGCTCCCAGCTCCGGTCTGGCCCCGCCCCGCCCCACCTGGCGTCTCCCGGCCCCGCCCCGCCACTCCTAGCCCTGCCCCTGCGCTAGTCTCGCGCACTTTGAAAGTGCGCGAGCTCGGCCGAGACCCGGGGCCGACGGTTGGCCGGGCGAAACCATTTGTTACGCTACGTGGGGGGAGCTAACAGCCTACGCCTCCATATTTTTGTCAACTTTTAGCCTCTCAGTCTCAGGTGCTGGTTTTACTGTCGCCTTTAAGTCCGCTCTGTTTGCTCAGCCTCCCGGAAGGGAGCTGTGCCGCTCTGGGGAGAAGGTCGTTGTGCCTCGGTGCCCCGTCCTTCCCCTCCCGACGGGGAGCCGGTGGGAGAGGACGACGGCCGGCGGGGGGAGGAGGCGGCCCTAGCGCCATTTTGTGGGAGCGAAGCGGTAGCTGGGCTGCTCCTGGAACCGTCGCTGCTTCGGGTTCCTTGTCGGGCTTCCTAGCAGCGGCCTGACGGGTGAGTCGCGGCCGCTTCTCACCGAGGACGCCCTGGGGGTCTCGGCCTCCGCACGCCGCGGCCCGTGGCGGACACAGCGGCTTCCGCCCCCGCCCCGGGAAGGGAGCCGTGGGGCCGGGTCCGCCTGGTCCTGCCCGAGCGGGCTCGCGCGGGCGCGGCGTTAGGGGCCTGGCGCTGGGTGGCAGCCGGCGCCGAAGCCGGGACGCTGGGCCTGCGGTGCCGTGCAGCCCGGGGCGGAGCTTCAGGGCCCTGGCAGGGCTCTGTGCTTTCGGCGCTTCGCAAAGCGCCGGGGGACGCCGCCAGCCTGGGCCCTGTGCCCCTGCGTCTGGTCCTCGGGCCGCGCCGAAAAACCCCTCCCTCGGCCGCCACGCGCTGGCTTGTGGGAGGTGGCGGCCCGCGTCGCGAAGGACCTGTTGTCGCTGTCCTTGCCCGAGTGTGGGGAGCCCCCGGAAGTCCCACAGTGAGGAACAGGGAGGAACTTTTCTTCCTGCTCTCTTCACCTGGCTGGCTGCCGCTGTTTCTCAAGACACAGCTTCTGCATCTGGTTTTTAGGGACATCAGCTTTCATTCCCACACACGTCTCAGCCCCCAGGATGATTATTTACTTCTTTCTGGCAGCGTATATCAGGGCCGTAATAAATAACTGCTTGTTTGGTATCCTCTCCGGATGTTCCCCCGCCCCCAGTAACCACCTTGCCACCTGCGACTGACTGTTTTCAGTTGAGCATCTGATGCCTAGTAGGCACGCGGCAAGTGTTTATAGCAGGACTGAAATAGCAAGGCATCGTGTTTTGTTAAGAATCACTGGCCTTGCCTTTGCCTCGTTTCGGTGGTAACCCGCGCGTGTAAGAGCCCAAACAGCAGAGATGTCCCCGGAACATGGACGTGGTGGTGGTGTTAACCAGGTGATGATAAGGAAACAATTACTCTGACTCGAGTGTCGGTCATTAATGGTTCTTTTTCCTTTAAGAAGACTAAGAGAAGATGTCTGAATATATTCGGGTAACCGAAGATGAGAACGACGAGCCCATTGAAATACCATCAGAAGACGACGGGACGGTGCTGCTGTCCACGGTTACGGCCCAGTTTCCAGGGGCCTGTGGGCTGCGCTACAGGAATCCAGTGTCTCAGTGTATGAGAGGCGTCCGGTTGGTGGAAGGAATTCTGCATGCTCCCGAAGCCGGCTGGGGAAATCTGGTATATGTTGTCAACTATCCCAAAGGTTCGTTGCCGTTTGGCTTTGCAACGCTCGAGCGTTTGTTTCTCATTCTAAGTCCGATCATGGCCTCGTTTCACGGCGGAACATCTCCTATAACCCAAGTGTTTCTTTAAATGTTACTGTTAGCTGCTAGTCCTAATTAGTGAAAATTGGAAATAACAGAATTTTTTTGAGAGAGAAAACTATGTATTATGTGAACAGATGCTGCCAAGTTAATGCCAAATTTAAGGAACCGCTGAGAATGCTTTGCAGTAATCAGCCTCTTGTAAATAGATTCTTTTCAGGTGCCCTGATGTTGTGCTTTGGTTTTTGGTCCTTGCAGGCTTCCATCAGTCATTCGGTTGATCTGATGTTTTTGCCCCTTAAATCGATGGCTGTAACCCAAATCTGAATTAGTGCAACTATAATTTGGGGTTTTGGTCTTATTCTCACTGCCCCTTATCACTGATGTTCTAAATCAAAAAAAAGGAAATATGAAGGAATGGTGCCAAGGAAGTAGGTACATTTCAGCAGAAGGAATTTGCTGTAGTTGATCTCTTTTGTTGAAACGCGATACCAACACAGTATCATTTTTAACGTGATACCAACAAAGTATCATTTTTGATTAGTATGCAAGACTTTGACTTACACTTTGAGAACATTTTTAACAGCAGCTTGGGTTTTTTTTTGTTTGTTTTTTGTTTTTCGTATGCTGTTTTTCGAGCCATTGGCTATAGATTAATATTTACCCAAATTTAAAATGTCATGTAAGGGCACCTGGGTGGCTCAGTTGGTTAAGTTCTTGATTTTGCCTCAGGTCATGATATTGCAGTTCTCAAGATCGAGCCTCGTGTAGGGCTCTGCGCTGACAGTGAGGGGCCTGCTTGAGATATGCCCTCCCTCCCTCTCCCCTCCCCATGCTCGCTCTCAAAGTAAACAAACATTAAAAAATAAAATGCCATTTAGATGATAACGTGTCAATACAGGTTCATCGGTTGTAACAAATGTCCCATACTGGTTTGGGGGGTTATTGATAATGGGGAGAGGCTATCCATGTGTGAAGGTAAAGGGGGTGTGTGGGAAGTCTCTGCCATCCTTTCAGTTTTGCTGGGAACCTGAAGCTGCTCTAAAAAATAGTCTTTCTAAAAATCTCACTTAGTTCCTTTCCTCTTCCAAATACTGAGGATTTTTGTTTGCTTTAATGTTAGTTTATTTTTGAGAGAGCAAGAGCGAGAGTGGGGGAGAGGCAGAGAGGGAGACACGATCCCAGAAGCAGGCTCCAAGCTGTCGGCACAGAGCCTGACAACATGTGGCTCTAACTCACAAACAGATCATGACCTGAGCCAAAGTCAGACACCTAACCGACTGAGCCGCCCAGGTGCCCCCCAAATACTGGTCTTGAAAAATAACCTAAGATTTTGGTTTTTGTTACAAAATCAATGTGAGTTCACTGTTGAAAGTTTATAAAAGAAAGAAAAAGAAAATTGAAATTACCCTTAAAATCCACAGCTGGAGATAAAAGTTGATTGTGTTTTGGTCCGTAACTTTTAACTTACAGGCATTCAGGTAAGCAGATATGTTTAGTAGGCATAAAGATATTACAGCACTGTTTTTTAACCTGTTTTTTTTCCTTCTTAATGTGTTTTAAAGTCCAAAATGAAGTAGAATTAGTTTTGTTCTGATGTGCCTTTTGAGAGGAGAGAACAAACCATTGTAATCTTGAGATCCTGCAAAACCAGAGGTGGGAGGGAGTCCCTGCATTCGCACCAGAAAAGCCCTTCAGCCACTTATTCAGTCCCTCCTTCTGTCTTTGAGAGCTGATGTCACTCCTTGCCAAAGGTTTTCAGTATCTTATTGCTCTTAGAATCTTTTTGCTTGTCGTTGTTAGGTGTAGGAGTTAATATGTCCTAAGAAGTGTTAAATGGGGAGTTCACTGAGAGATTTCTGCTCCTTTTGTTCAGATAACAAAAGAAAAATGGACGAGACGGATGCTTCTTCAGCAGTGAAAGTGAAAAGAGCTGTCCAGAAAACATCTGATTTAATAGTGTTGGGTCTCCCGTGGAAAACAACTGAACAGGATCTAAAAGAATATTTTAGTACCTTTGGAGAGGTTCTTATGGTTCAGGTGAACTTTGATTTCATTTGGCAGTTTTTCTTCTCCAGTGAATTCTTTTCCCCGAATTCCTGCAGTTTAGTGACACTGCCCTTCATGTTCAGCAGATAGTATCTTTAACATTTGTTACATGCATGCATAGGGGATGCCGAAATGGTTCGGGTGCCTGGCGGGGTTCGTTGGTGGAGTGTGTGACTCTTGATGTCAAGCCCCATGTTGGGTCTAGAGCTCACTTAAAAAATTTGGGTTATACTCTTTCCCTTTATGCATATATTCTATATTAACTTAGATTGTTGGGAGATTAAAAAAAACTTTTTTTTTAAGTTTATTTACTTTGAGAAGAGAGCGTGAGTAGGGGAGGGAAAGAGAGGGAGAGAGAACCCCACGCAGGTGTGGACCCTGATGCAGGGGTTAAACTCAGGACCCTGAGATCATGATCTAAACTGAAATCAAAAGCCAGGCAACCAATTGAGCCACCCTGGGTCCCTAAAAAAACACCTTTTTTTTTTTTTTTTAAAAGGGGGAGCCACCTGGCTGGCTCAGTTGGAGGAGCGTGCAGCTCTTGATTTCCATGTCGTGAGTTCAAGACCCATGTTGGGTGTAGAGATTACTAAAATAACTTTTAAAGAAAGATAAAAACACATTTCCTCTTTTTCCAATTTAAGAATGTAAACATTAGAGGGGTGCCCAGGTGACTTAGTTGGTTAGGCATCTGACTTCAGCTCAGGTCATGATCTCACTGTTCGTGAGTTTGAGCCCTGCATCGTTCTCTCGCTGTCAGGACAGAGCTGGCTTTAGATTCTCTGTCTCCCACTCTCTGTGCAGGCACGTGTTCTCTCTCTTCCTCTCTCTCTCTCAAAAATAAGTAGTTTAAAAAAAAATGTAAATGTTAGATCTGATTTATCTTTGCATTGTAAACCAAGTTGTTAAAATTCTGTTTCATAACATGATTATTAACATGATCTGGATTCAACATTTACTCTCCTGTTGTTTTTACTTCAAGAATAACTTGGTTTAAATTTTAATTAAGCAACTCCATCCGAGTGAAGCCATTCAAATTACCAAGGAACTCTGATTTGGGTGTGTGTGAGTGTGTGAGATTTTAGTAAATTTCAGTGATTTTTTTTTCCCCCCCTAGGTCAAGAAAGATCTCAAAACTGGTCATTCAAAGGGGTTTGGTTTTGTTCGTTTTACGGAATATGAAACCCAGGTGAAAGTAATGTCACAGCGACATATGATAGACGGACGATGGTGTGACTGTAAACTTCCTAATTCTAAGGTACTTTACTCTTTTTTCCTCTGCTTTGGGAATTTTGCTTTGGGAATTTCCTCTGCTTTGGGAATTTTTGTCAAATTTTGACAAAACTCCCTTAGAAGACACTGTAGAATAATAGTAAATGTACTTGGAAAAGGTAGTGGCGGGTATATTCCTGAAACATTTTGTCTCGTTAAAGCCTTAGGACCTTAATGCATGCTGAATGTTTTATGTTTGTTTGAAATACTTAGTTTATTACCTCTCTTACTAAAACTTCGTTCATTTTATTCTTTTTTTTTTTCTTTGTTATTTCTGGTGAGTGAACAGTTTCTTACGTGGTTACGTGTTAAAGCACAAAGACAGTGAGAACACATTAATCTTGCCACAAAGGCCTAATTTGTTCCTAGCAAGCAAGACTTATTTGGAGAGTTACCATCTTTGCTAGGGCGTTCCTCAGTCATTGACTTTCCTTAATCCAAATAAACCTTTTTGAACTTGAAACCTTAAGACTTTGGAGGCACCTAGCTGGCTCAGTCTGTAGGGCGTGCAACTCTGGATCTTCGGGTTATGCGTCTGGGCCTCGTGTTGGGTGTAGGGATTACTTAAAAATAAAATCTTTAAAAAATAAAATGTTACTCTTCACTGAAGCATTAAAGAGAAGTGCTAATACAGAAGAATGTATCTCCTTTTTAATGACTAATCGCATATAAAAGGCAGATCGCTGTCGTTACATCCTCTATCATGATGCTCTTTTCATAGCTCCTAAAACATTTCTCATGTTTTTCTTCCCTTTCGATTTGACCAGCAAAGCCCAGATGAGCCTTTGAGAAGCAGGAAGGTGTTTGTTGGGCGCTGTACAGAGGACATGACCGCTGATGAGCTGCAGCAGTTTTTTTGCCAGTATGGAGAAGTGGTAGACGTCTTCATTCCCAAACCGTTCAGGGCTTTTGCCTTCGTGACGTTTGCAGACGATCAGGTACTTTTCTCTTTAATGATAGTCCTCTGACTGGGTAATTTGTCGTGAAGATTTCCCATCCCGCTGATTGCCGTCCTCAGCTGAGCTTTCTCACCTTGTAAGCTTTGGGATATGGATGGGTCTAGATAGTCGTCGTAAACCCTTTAGGTATTTTTTCAGGATGTGGCGCTTAAGTGGGAGTGTTTTGTATCTTTTGAAAATAAGCTGAAAAAGTCCGTGCTGCTGTTACTACAGCCAAAGGCCATTTTACGGGTTTAAATGAAATGAGCTTATTTTTCCTCCCGCGTAGACACTGGCTTGAAATCTAAGTTTGATTGCTACTCTGGTGCATGAGTCAATGGTTTAATTTCCTTTATTTACATCCCCTATTTCTTATAGGTTGCCCAGTCTCTTTGTGGAGAGGACTTGATCATTAAAGGAATCAGCGTCCATATATCCAATGCTGAACCTAAGCACAATAGCAATAGACAGTTAGAAAGAAGTGGAAGATTTGGTGGTAATCCAGGTGGCTTTGGGAATCAGGGTGGTTTTGGTAACAGTCGAGGGGGTGGAGCTGGTTTGGGAAACAATCAAGGTAGTAATATGGGTGGGGGGATGAACTTTGGCGCTTTTAGCATTAATCCGGCAATGATGGCGGCTGCCCAGGCGGCACTGCAGAGCAGCTGGGGCATGATGGGCATGTTAGCCAGTCAGCAGAACCAGTCAGGCCCATCGGGTAATAACCAAAGCCAAGGCAACATGCAGAGGGAGCCAAATCAGGCCTTTGGTTCTGGAAATAACTCCTATAGTGGTTCTAATTCAGGTGCAGCGATCGGTTGGGGATCTGCATCAAATGCAGGGTCGGGCAGCGGTTTTAACGGAGGCTTTGGCTCAAGCATGGATTCTAAATCTTCGGGCTGGGGAATGTAGACAGTGGGGTTGGTAGAGACTGGTGGGAATTCAAATTTTTCTAAACACATGGTAAGTATATTGTAAAATACATATGTACCGAGAATTTTCAGAATTGGTCTGTTCAGTGTGGAGTATATTCAGCAGTATTTTTGACATTTTTCTTTAGAAAAAGAGGAAAAGCTAAAGGAATTTTATAAGTTTTGTTACATAAAGGGTTGAAATATTGAGTGTTTGAAAGTGAACTGCTGTTTGCCTGATTGGTTAAAAAAAACAAAAAACCCAACACACTACAATTGATATCAAAAGGTTTCTCCTGTAATATTTTATCCCTGGACTTGTCAAGTGAATTCTTTGCATGTTCAAAATGGAAACCATTGATTAGAACTACATTCTTTTCTCCTTGTTTTAATTTGAACCCCACCATATGAATTTTTTTCCGTAGGAAAATCTCCTTTTTTGGAGATCATGGTGTCACAGTGTTTGGTTCTTTTGTTTTCGTTTTTGTTTTTTTTTTAACACTTGTCTCCCTTCATATGCAAAAGTACAATATGAAGCCTTCATTTAATCTCTGCAGTTCATCTCATTTCAAATGTTAATGGAAGAAGCACTTCATTGAAAGTAGTGCTGTAAATATTCTGCCATAGGAATACTTCCGTCTACATGCTCTCTCATTCAAGACTTCGTCATCACACTGCACAGGCTGCGTCTTTGACGGTGGGTGTCCCATTTTTATCCGCTACTCTTTATTTCATGGAGTCGTATCAACGCTGTGAACGCAAGGCTGTGATATGGAACCAGAAGGCTGTTTGAACTTTTGAAACCTTGTGTGGGATTGATGGTGGTGCCGAGGCATGAAAGGCTAGTATGAGCGAGGAAAGGAGAGAGCGCGTGCAGAGACTTGGTGGTGCATAATGGATATTTTTTAACTTGGCGAGATGTGTCTCTCAATCCTGTGGCTTTGGTGCGAGAGTGTGCAGAGAGCAATGATAGCAAATAACGTACGAATGTTTTTTGCATTCAAAGGACATCCACATCTGTTGGAAGACTTTAAGTGAGTTTTGTTCTTAGATAACCCCGTTAGTTGGATGTGTTAAGTGAAACGATACTTGTATTTCCCCTCCCCTTTTGTCAACTGCTGTGAATGCTGTATGGTGTGTGTTCTCTTCTGTTCCTGATCTGTAAGTGTGGTCCTGTGAACTGAAGCTGGTGGGTTGAGAACATGGACTGAGCTTGTGGTGTGCTTTGCAGGAGTACTTGGAAGCAGAGTTCACCAGTGAGCTCGGGGTGTCGCCACGAAGGGTGGAAGTTCTAATGTCTGTCAGCTACCCATAAGAATGCCGTTTGATGCAGTTCTGTGTCCTGTGCTTGGATGCTTTTTATAAGAGTTGTCAATGTTGGAAATTCTTAAATAAAACTGATTTAAATAATATGTGTCTTTGTTTTGCAGCCCTGAATGCAAAGAATTCATAGCAGTTAATTCCCCTTTTTTGACCCTTTTGAGATGGAACTTTCATAAAGTTTCTTGGCAGTAGTTTATTTTGCTTCAAATAAACTTATTTGAAAAGTTGTCTCAAGTCAAATGGATTCATCACCTGTCATGCATTGACACCTGATACCCAGACTTAATTGCTATGTTCTTGCATTGTCCAAAGTGAAAAGTTTTTTTGTTTTTTTTTAAACCTAGTTTTTAATAAGTCTGGGTGACCGCACCTAAAATGGTAAGCAGTACCCTCCGGTTTTTTTATTAGTGCCTCTGTGCATTTGGGTGATGTTCTATTTACATGGCCTGTATGAATCTCCATTGGGAATCATGCCTTCTAAAAATATTCTTATTTGGGGGGAGTGGGAAAAACAACGTTGATTATCTTCAAATGCTTTGTAGCAAAGCATAGCAGTTGGAAAGGAGGGCATTTCAGCACCTTTCTAGTTTGGGATTTGAAAAGTGGAATTAATTGCAGTAGGGATAAAGTAGAAGAAACCACAAATTTATCTTGTGCCTGAAATCCATTACAAAGCCTGATAGCTTTAAGAACTAGCAGGGTGGGATGTCTGTCTGAAAGTGTTAAGTGAAATGGGCTTTGTCCTCCACAGGTGGGGGAATAGAGTAACGTTGAATGAAATCGTTGACAGAAAACTCAGATTAGACTCTCACGGCGCATTGTGCAGTATGTAAAAGCAATAATCTATGATTCTCTGTTGTACTTTTTATGTAACTGCTGTGAGAGTTGAGCTTGTTTTCTGATGGAAGAATGTTAACATTTTTGTGTCGGTAGCTTACCTGATGCCCTTCTCTAATTAGATGACGATAACTAGGTTTGTCATTTTTCAAGTTACGTGTTTTAAGCTTTTAGAAATGAAGTCGTCCTTTAGACTTGTGATCGCCACGTTGTTTCGTTACTCAGTTTCCTCTGTAAAAGGATCTTGCATTGTTTTAATTTTTTTCTGCATCTCCATTGCATGATTTCCAAACCCTGTACCATCTGAATTTTGCATTTTAGCACTTGCACTGTTACTCAGCAGCAGTAACTTGGTAACACTTAAAATGGTATTCGGGGACCTCCAAAGACTAAACTGACAAGCCTTCAAGGAGCCCAGGGGTAAGTTCACTTGTCAATGGCATGGTTTTAATCCCTTACTTGCACTTGTTATGAATCTAGTTTCCGGTCTTAGAAGGCTTTCAATGTGCAGCAGCCTTCTGTTAACAATGTTTGTGGTACTAGTAGCTGTGGGTATTTAATTCTACCCTTAAAGTTAAAAAAAAAGAAAGAAAGAAATGAAGTCTAGAAGTAAAAAAAACTATTTGGCAAAGATTTGTTTTTAAAATTAAGTCTTATTTGGTCATCTCAATGCATTCATTCTTAAAACTTTTTTGAACCAGTTGAATAAAAAATTTGTTGCCACCACAGTTTAGTGTCTGGAGTCTTACTGGGAAAATTCAATTTCTTTTTTATATGTGACAAAGGTGATGGAAAGTTACTTTGGAAAAGTCTCAAGAAGTTCCCCTTTAATATGCACAAGAGGAATCAGGCAGAAACTCAAAATGCATTTTTACATGAGTGGTAAATATTTGGCTAGGATGAAACTCTTTGTGAAGTGTTAGCTATTAAAACTTGAAGGAGGAATAGCCAGCCGAAATGACCTGAGATCTTTAAGGTTAGGTGAGCTTAAATTGTGTCCTTAGGGAAAGTATCTTAACCGCTTGATAATTCCAAAGATGTATGTGATAATTAGAATGATTCGTTGTCGAGTGCCAGGAGAGTAGCTCTTCGTTGTGTATGAGTTCTGTACTCAGCTCTTGTGATTTGTGATCTGTTGTTTTCAGTATGCCCAAGGATTTTCGTGTTCATTGCGAGAATTAAAAAAAACTACAGACTTACCTATGCTATGGCCACTTAGTTCTGATGTCGTAGTTCCTCTTAAGGAATTGCCACATTTGATTCAGGTGTCTTCTGAATTTGAACATTATTTAGGTTATTATTTCCAAGTGCCGGGAACATCCTCACAGCTGAATTAAATTCTTAGCGTTGGCGTTACTAGGTCAAAGACTGCCTGCTTTCAGGGCTTTTCAGATACATTGCCAAGTTGTCCTTTAGAAAACCTGTGTTGTCTTTGACAATGTGAAATGGTGCTGTTCTGTGTTTTTCTTGTCTGCCAGTTGGATAAGTGAAAAATTATATCTCGCCAGTTGATGGCATTGGTTTTGCACATGGGAATCAGTCAATACCTAACCCGAAGTATTGATGTTTCCGTTTTATCTACAAAATCACGATTCTAGGTTATCCCTGAACCAGTACTGCTATAATATATAAAGCTCTGTTAGAGATCAAGAACAAGTCCCCAGACAATGGAAGAGTTGTCAGAGAACATGAACGGGCAGTTTATAGAAATGCAGATACCTGGTGCAGATACTGCACTTTGTAAGTCATGAAATGCAGATTTAACTGGTGATTTTCTGTGGGATTGGCACAGGTGATCTCACTTGCCTGTGTCCCCTCGAATCCGGCAGGAAGCGGTGAGAAGCCCCAAGGGAGGGGCACCTGTGGTGGCCTTCTTCCCCGAAGTTTGCTTTTGGTTTTGGCGGTAGGGCAGTAACTGCCATGTTAATGTCTCTCGGGTCACGTTGCTGCTACGGTCTTCTAAAGGGGTTTCTAAAAAGAATCCTTTTCTGATTGAAGACACAACGAATTAAAAGTTATTAATTATGTTCTTGATCCAGGGAATATAGTTAACAACTTTTGTGTAGACCCCATACTGGTTTGCTTCCCCACAATTCATGGAACCCCAGGACACTATTCCTCCCACAAACCATGTCTGTGTCTCGTTATCTAGAAACACTAATGCCCCTCCGCTGTCCCCTTTGCAACTGTCCTTGCCCCCGCCTTCTAAGCCAGCGCAAAGCATGTTTTCTGTCACCCTTCCCCCTGGATAGGGCTGCTTTTCATACGCAGCGGTACATTTCTGGTGATCGACAGTTGGAATGTCAACAAACATTAGACTTCTGGCAAGAAAACCCCTTTGGGTTAATCCCCATCCAGACACGGTTCCAATGTCATTTGTCCTCATGAAGGATTCGGCTTCTTTTCGTGGCAAACAGATAGGCAGGATGTTGCTATTGATTACAACTCTGTTCTTCAACTTAATCAGTGCTATGTCGTTATCAAAGCCAGCATCGTGAGTATAGCCTTCATGTATAAAAATGGCCTCGGCCCAGGCTTGTGTATAATGAGCTGACAGTCTCTTCAGGGCACCCATTCTGATCTCTAAGGAGGAGGCATCTTCTTTTTGCTCATACACAGCGTGAGCTGCTGTGAGGATCCAGTTGTCCTGTAGGAGTGCGCCTGCTGCCGTAGTTCGACCTAGTAATAGGACTTGCCAGGGAAAATCGCCAAGCTTTGCGTTTTGCCCTCCATATATACGCCCTCTTACGGTGCGAGTTGATATTCCACAAACTAGGGAAAGAAGCAGATATATAGAGCCTTTATAGAAACCCAGTGGTGTTTTTTTTCCGTAATCATTCCCACTTTGAAATTGTATCTATTTATATTAATCATCCAAAACTATCATTGGGTGAATTGGTGGGTGTCCACCCACACAGGCAAGTGAGACTGCTTTAAAACGGCACAGTTCGAACCTGAGGAGGAAACCTTTTGGTATTAGCATTAGCTCCTCAGAAAATGAGGTGTATGAAAATTAGCTTTTAGAAACTAATTTGTTTTGCTGAAATAATTTGGCCTACACGATAGGGAGTATTAATAGGGCAGACGGGAATTGTCTGGGCTGATGTACTGGGGTGATGTGATTACAAATCCAGTGAAAGGAAATAACCTTTTCATTGCTTCTGTTTTCCTGCTTGTAAAATGGGGTATTTACCCTGTAGTTCTGGGACAGCAGGAACTAAGGTCACTGTTGCAGGATTTGCAAAATCACTTTTGCCTTTGAACATTTAAACGTTTTGCAAATCAGAATGTTGGCAGTTGTAGCCAGGAACCTTCAGGTTCGGAAATTACTATTTTAGTCTAGTTGGTTCTTCCAAACTAAATTTTCCTGTGTGTATTGCTAACTAAATACACTCATTAATGTAGCAAATATGTCTCCTGTTGTGGCAGAATACTTGCACTAAAACGTACAAATGTTGTGTCAGCTAAGATGTAGTTTTTTTAAGAAAACTAATTTAAGCCAGATAACGCAGGAGTAATGAATACATTATTACCTTTCTGATTTTTTTTTTAATCGCTGTACTCAACTACATCTTCAGAGCCAATTCTGGCAAAAAAAATTTTTTTGGGGGGTGCTATTCAAAAGGCAGATTGCATTAATGTTTAAAAACTAGATGTCGTTGAAAACAGTTGCTTAGGGAAATGAGTTACTAGCTTTGGGTTTTAATAGCTTCACAGAGAAGAAAAAGTTAACTCCACAGCAGGACTTGTGTTTATAAATGTAAATGGTTCAAGATAATTCTTAAAATCGTTTCATTTTTTACGCTCGCCTAGTTGTGAAGTCAAAAATAGTCCAATGACTGACGTGCAGTCGGCACCTAGCAGCCCCTCCGCATGGAAAGGGGAGAGTGAGAACGTGTTATCTGGAAATAATAACTTGGTGTAAGAGCCAAGTGCTGAGGTTCCATTTCTGCCCAACTCCAGCCAGAGAGCTCCGCTCGCCTCCCGCCCAGCTGTACTTTCCATCAATTACGCGTCTCTTGTGTAAATGTATCCATTACCAGGCTCACAGACTGGGAGCGATTTTTCTCCTTTGGAGCTCGTCCAGAATCCATCAGCCCCACACACATATTTACCTGCAAATCATTGGAAAAGCAAAAATGTTTAACTGCATGGAGAAGGTGGTTGTCATTTGCTTGAATAGCCCCTTGAAGAATGTTGATTCTGGAGCATCATCGGGAAAGAGAGGTGTCTGAATAACCATTTTACATGATTTCATAAATAGGAGGTCTCTGCATTAACCATGTTTGCTCGCAAAGTGGAAACCTTTTAGATGTGTAACTTGAATATGTATCAAGATCTCAAGTGCTTAATGATAAGGTTTTGACTTGTTAAATTAAACCATTTGGAATATATTGTGTGTT